CAACAATGCTCTCAGATATAAAGGGCAGCAGGATTTTAAATCAGAAGCTGTGTCACTGCTTTCTAAGTCACGGCTTATCTTCTGAGAGACATTGTTACCCAGAGACTTCTTTAACAAGTTTCCAAATGCCCTAAATTAGTCAACCATTGCTTATTTAGACTGCGGTCGTACCTCAAGGTTTACTGCTTTCGAATAATGACCAGTTAATCCGTAAGGTACAACTAAGATTCCATCACATGACAGCTCCGCATTCAAGGGCGTGATTGCCACATTAATGTCTGGTTCAAGGAAATGCTAATCCAAACTGAGGTCTGACAATCCTCTCCTCTCCTTAATAAGGCCACATATGAGGAGGAAGGGAAAAGAGGAGGACGGGGCGGGGGACCCCTGGGAGAAAGGAGGCTAAGGGCTCGGGTGTGGGCGAGAGCGGAGTGGGGTCACACAAAGGAAACCGGAAGCGGGGGGGTCCACGTGATCTCGTGCTCTGGCTGCCGGTTACCGTGGGGCTGCGAGACACTGATGAGCAGATGCACCCCAAACCTGCCACGGGGAGCGCGCCGCGGTGGCATTAATGACACACTGTGCACAGAGAGTGCATCTACCACATGCTGAAGTTCTGATAAGGCTTTCTGGCCAGTGTTATTTCTGTAGGTCGCGACCTAAGGCGCAGGCATGTGCCCCCACGCCCCCAAGTGGCAAAGCGACCTGCAGTGATAGGAAGGATGACAGAAGCAAACAAAAATGCTGGAGGAGTCTAGAGATCAGAGAAGCAGAAACAACGCTGGAGAAGCCCAGACCCAGGAACCGGCCATGGGGCGGACTGAGTCAGGGAAACTGACTGGCGGAGGAGGAAATGGGGTTTCTCCAAAGACGGAGCTGAACAGCCCCAGTATCAGGCGGGAGCAGGCGTCCTGACAGTCAGGAGGCAAGAGCGCAAGCTGAACTGGGAACCCAGACTGCTCATGTCTACGTCCGAACTCAGATCCTCAGAAGGCTATTCCGGAAAGAATTATGAGGGTTTGAGAAGTTGGGGAGGGCTGGGGAGGCCTCAAGTGTGGGGATCAGGGGTACAGAGGGCAAAAATAACACTCTGACGTAGGCAGGTGAGTGAAATCAAAGACCGGAAACTCTGACTTCCAACCTCAGACAATGACTTCTAGCACAGACTTTGACATCCTTTCATTCATACGCTCACCAAGATACTTATTTCCTGCCTCGGACACAGGTGCTGTCCTCCCTGACGAGTTGGGTCAGTGCCATCTGGGTGTCCCTTTCATGCTCCATCAGCAGATTTCCCTACAAATACTTGAGACTGCTTTTATCTAGCATGCATCCTCTCATTGGCCAGATCCTCCTGGAGTGTCTATGGGACTCGCATTTTGGGACTGAGTTCTGGGCTGAATTGTGTCCCCACAAACATTTCGATGTTGGAAGTGCGAACCCCTAGTACATACCTCAGGACGCAACAATATCTGGAGACGGGTTCTTTCGAGAGAGAATTAAATGAAAATGAGGCCGTTGGGGTGGGCCATGATCCAGCACGACCGGTACCTTTAGAGCGAGTTTGGACACTGGCCCACACACAGAGGGACAACCACATGAAGTCAGCCAACTACAAGCCCAGGATCGAGGCCTAGAACAGACCCTGTGTCACGGCCCTCAGAAGGAACCACCCTGCCCATGACTCCTGGATCTGGACTTCCAGCCTCTAGAACTGTGAGCAAAGACATCCGGGGTAGTTAAGCCCCCCCCCCCCAGTGTGTCGGTGCCCTGTTGCAGCCACTCTAGCAAACTCCTACAGACAGGTGTGTATGCACACGTTCCTGCTAGGACAGGTACGGTGAGTCGAAAGCAATCCTGGCCCGATAGGGATTCATCAGCAGTTCACCTCCCAGGCCACCTAGCATTACCTCTCCTCGGTTGACCTGCACTTACCGTCTCCATGGAGGTTTCTCTCACTGTCAGCTAGCCCCGTGGCACCTGGACCGGCCCATTCTATGCATTCTGTCCTAGCCATCCCTACCTTCTTCAAATCACCCCTCAGGAGTCACGTCTCTGGCACTTTTAAAAGAATTCTTCTGGAAGCTTATTCTGAACTGTTCTAGACTACTGCTCCTGAGCAAGCAAACAAGACGCAACAATATACGTGCTCCCCTCAGTCTCATCTTGAGAGCATGAGCATAATCAGCCTGGCTGGTTACCTCAGTGATTTCAACCCCCCAGGGCTTTGGTCATCACTGCTTTGTGGTCCCTCCTCAGTGTGGCCTCTCTGTCCCCATGCCACCCCATGCCACCCCAACCGTCCCCCTACAAGCAACAGCTTTAGGCCCACCGTGTGGATCAGCCTTAGGCCAAGGAAGAGGCAGTCATAGTAGGACTTCAGACGCCTTGCCCAAAACGCCTCTGCCACTGATCCACCGACTACTCTAAAATTCTCCCATCCGTCAATTTACTTGGGGCCCGAGAGGCTTCAGGTGGCAAACCTCCAGAAGAGAAGTCACTGCCATCCATGGATTCCGTGGCTAGAGTGCATGTGTGACCATTTGCTAGTGAGACAACGAGCAGCAAGCCGGGCACTGAGGAAAGGAGACATGACGAGATCTGGCAAGGGGAGAATGAGCTGGAACAAGACTGGTCAGGCAGGGAGGCCAGGGATGGGACAGGAGCCCTCCAGGGTTGGCGAGGGGGGAGGGAGGCAGCAGGGTGAGCTTCCTCCTGGCCCCACGGCAGAACGAGGCGCCAGGAAGAACATCTTCTATTTGTGAAGGTTTTGGAGTTCACAAAGCCCTTCACATACTGATCAGCTCACCTGGTCCTCACGACAATGAAAGAGAAGCAGCAAACATATCCGCAGCTCAAGGTCAATGATTTTGAAGCCAAGATGGCTGGGAGACCAGCAAGCCACAGAGCTGAGTCCTGACGCCGGGTCCCGCCCTGCTCGAGGGACAAGGGTGAAGAGTTCTCAACTGAAGACGCTCACATCTGGGTGAAACCCCAACTCTGACACTGATTGGTCTTAGAATCTTGTGCAAGTGACCTGACCCCTCCAGATCTCAGTTTCTCTAGCATAAAATGGACAGATGCGCTAAAGATCTCCCGAGCGAATACGCAGGCGGAGCTCAGCAGGGTGCCCGGCACCCCGAAAGCACACAGCAGATGTGAGCCAGCAGCCTCACACCAGACTAACTCAACCCTGCAAGGAAACGGTCCTGACACATGTACGTCTTTTCTCTGTCTCTCTCCTCCCTTTGTATTGTTTTCACAAGCCTCTTGGGTGACTTGGATGCCAAGTGCCGCCCTTAAGAACGAAGGAGACAGAGCCGTGTTTCTCAGATTGTAAGGGGCATTCAAATCACCTGAGGATCTTGTTAAAAATGCAGATTCAGGGGCGCCTGGCTGGCTCAGTGGGTAGAGCATGTGACTCTTAACCTCAGGGTCCTGAGTTCAAGCCCCATGCTGGGCGTGCAGCCTATTTAAAATAAAATTTTTTAAAAATGCAGATCCAGAAGGTCAGGCAAGGGGTCTGAGATTCTGCATTTCTCACACGCTCCCGGGTGGTGCAGACACCTCTGCGCAGGTCACACTTTACATAACAAGGACGTGGAGAGCATCATGGGAGAGAAGACGGGTGACGAGCAAGAGGGGGACTAGAAAATCCACAAAACCCATGAAGACCTAGTACACGCGGTGGCCCCCTCGGCATCTTTACATGACATAATGAAGAGCAATAAGCAGAGCCTGACACACGGCAAACGCTTGCCGAGGGGTAACTATCACCGTCCGTCATGATCACGGCCTCTATGACCACAAAGCAGGGGTGTGTAGATGCCCCCCATCACCTGTGCACTTGACTCTGTCTCCTGAGTATGCCTCAGTTCACCTTCTGGACTACAAAGACCTCTTCCTCAAGGTAAAGGCCCTTCTTGACAGATGGCACTCACTCTGCCTAGGGACCCCCTTGCTCATGTGGCCCTGGACCGCCGCCACTGCCGCCAGAGAAACATCCTGCCCACCCGAGGCTTCTCACAAACCCTGCCCAGGACAGGTTAAAAACACTGATCACATGCTCCGGAGAGCTCTCAGGAGGACAGGAAATTGTTTTATCCTCCTCAGCTTGCCCCAGGGCAGCGGTCTGTAATCCTGGCAGCTGCCTATGGACCTCACCTGGGACCCTCCTTCCCCGACATCCACCCCCGATTTAATTGTCTGAGGTGGGGCCTAGGAACGTGTGGCCGAAGGTCAAACACCATTGCCCTTGGGAAGCCACGTTATTCCTGACCAGGAACTCGGCAGAAACAAGCTCCTCTCCAGAATGAAAGCATCATCCCTAGCGGGGAAGAGGAAGGGAAGCAAGTTTCTACCCTAAGTTCATTTCCTTCTGTGATGCTTCCCACAGAGGAGCTCTGGAAGCAGGGGGGAAGGCCAGTTCTAAAGATGTAACCATACAGGGTTCGTTAACCCCAAACCTGGAAAGCTGGACGGCTTCTCCTGGTCTTCCAACAGAACTGGGTACAGAGCGGCCATCAACCGCGTTGGCATGTAAATCACTCCCGGGCACAGAACAGACAAGAATCCACCTGCCCCACTCCCCTACCTTCGTGAGCCACAGACGACAAGTCTTACTAGGACACAGCTTTCCAACGTGCCAGTGGAAAAACAAAACACCTCTTTTCCCCCACAGATGAGTACATGACTTCAGGAGTTTAAAAGACAGCTCACATAGCAGAAAGCAACTGAAGAATGGCAAGGGAGAGATTTGCTGACATTGTCTGTACTCCCCCCAGACATTCTTCCCTCAGGATGAGATTCGGCTGAACCCGCCCGGTTTACTAAATCTAGAACATTAAAGAAACCCAAACTGAAAAAAAAAGATAGTCAAACACTACAAAGGAGCTGAGTACATTTTACTAGTTAAATTAAGAAGTTCAGGAAACAAATCTGTAATCTCTGCAAACACATCTTCACCCATCACGTAATCCCTGTAAATGAAAGCATCCTACCTGATGAGATCTGGTTCTGCACCCTCGTTCTTAAAGGATGCCACAAGTAGTCTCTCTCGAGTTACAAGTTCATCCAGCAGGTTCTGTCTTCGGTCTCCTTCAAGCTGTGTTCTGCAGGCGTCTCGTTAAGGTCCAACGGTGGGTGGATTACCTCAGTTTACCTACTCTGTTATTAAGTGAGCTCTCCCAGTCAGCTGTGACCATTACAGACTCTAAACAATAGTGGCCAGAAGAGATCTGAACTGTTCTTCTCCTCCTGCTACTCTGACCTTCAACACTGCAGACCTTCCAAGAAAAGGACCTTGACAGAACCACAGCAGGGTTCTGAAACACACCCACCACTGAGAAATACAGCAGGTAGAAATTATCTTCCTCCCAGCGACCAACACTGAAATGATTATTCCTGTCAGCAGAGCCAGCTGACTCGGATTCCTTGGGTTTCGAGTTATAGGTGCCAGTGTTCGAGGGTGTTTTCCTAGACATTAGTACCCTTACTCTGTAAAGAAGGAAAGAGGTTCTCTATATTGCCTTCTTTCTTCCATGTTAACGCCTATTAACACACTAGGTTTTGTAAAGTGCTACTCTATGCGACAGATTTGCTCTAAAAGGAGCTCCCTTTGGTTCATTACTTAAATACACGGCATGATATTTAACTCTAAAGACAATTACAAAGAAAGAATTGGATTTCAATGAGTTATTCTAGCAAGCGTGTTAAACCAGGAGTCCAAAGCCTATAGTCTTGCTTTGACCAATATCTATGATCCTGAATCCCCTTTTTGGATCTCCATTTCTTTACATGCAACGCCAGATAACAGATAATCTCTAACACCTTCTCCAGCACAATTCATGAGTTATAGCTAAAAAAATAAATCGGGGCTAAATCCAGAGTTTTCTGCACTGGCTTTCTTGAAGCAAGCTAAGTAAGTTCTTCTAGGCTGAGAGAGTGTGTATGTGTTTGTGTGTGCACGCGTGCATGTTTAAAAACAAAATAAAATGTTCAAGGAAAAAGATTTCTGCTGTAAAAAGAACCAGGGGAGAAAGCTAACCGATCCTTCTGAAAGGACATATCTGACACAAGACATAAAAAGTAAGTACAGAAATGAGCCACTTCAGCACAGATCTTCTCTGGCTTTGAGTTTTTTATTAGATGGCTTTTGTTTTATTGGACCTGAAACTCTGGTAATCCAGAGTTACCCCGGCCACAATTACCTAGTGCTGGTAACAGGAAGACATTAGTGAGCCTGCTGCTTTAAATTTAGAGACGCTTTCCTATTTAAGAGAGGGAGAGCAAATGCTGCATGGAGGCCCAAAACATTTCCGAGAAATTGGCAAAATCAAGTACTAGCATCACCATTTCCTGCAGGAAGTGCGGGACCATAGCCCAGGGAAGCCACAACGGCTGTTGCTAATTTTGAATAGAAAGAGCTAGCTTGCTAGTAAAATAATAATAATTTTTTTAAAGATTTTATTTATTTATTTGAGAGAGAGAGAGAGAGAGAGAGAGAGAGACAGCAAGAGAGAGAACACAAGCAGGGGGAGCGGGAAAGGAAGAAGCAGGCTTCCCGCCGAGCACGGAGCCCAATGTGGGGCTTGATCCCAGGACCCTGGGACCATGGCCTGAGCCGAAGGCAGACGCTTAATGACTGAGCCATCCAGGCGTCCCAAAATAATAATAATTTTTTAAAAATCCGTAAAAAAGTTTCCTGGTAACAGACAGTGGTAATATCATAAACCCACAAACCAACGTAGCTAAGCAGTGTCAGTGGCTTCAGATATTAAAATAAGTAAATAAATAAATGAATGAATTCTCTCAACATTCCAGAATGCCACGCTTCCCCGGGGAAAATCGCTACCATTGCTCTTCCATTTCCCTCTTGCCTGTATGTCACCCAGTACCCCATCTTGGAAACCATAAGGTAGCAACTGCAACTAAGAAACAGTGGGCTGGGCGCCTGGGTGGCTCAGTCGGCTGAGTGTCAGACTCTTGATTTTGGCTCAGGTTATGATCTCAGGGTCGGGCTCCACGCTGAGTCGGGAGCCTGCTTGAGACTCTCCCTCTCCCTCTGCCCCTCCCCCTGTTCATGCTCTCTCTCTTTCTCTAAAATAAATTTAAAAATCGTTTTAAAAAGGAAAGAAACAAACAACAAACAGCGGGCTGAAGTACTTCCTCTGGGCCAAAAAAGAAAAGGCCAAATATCTGTCTTTTGATCAATGCAACATCAAGAATAAGTATCGATGTGTTTCCGTTAGCTGTAAATTGTCAACAGAGCAGAAGGCTTGTCTTCTACCTAAGAGAAGTTCATGGGTGGGGAGGGAGGAAGAGGGAAAAGAAGCTTTCAGAAGCTATGGCTTGAATTATACACGGCAAAATGGGAATTTTAATTTGTGGAAACTATTAATTATATCACAATACTAACTCGCATTGTCCTGTGTTCTGTGCTTGGCCTACTCCAGCAACCTGTGGTTTTCAGTGTCCAGCCACCCAAGTAAACAAAAGCTGAACCACAATCCATTCTTAAAATCAAAGACAGAGGGGCGCCTGGGTGGCTCAGTCGTTAAGCGTCTGCCTTCGGCTCAGGTCATGATCCCAGGGTCCTGGGATCGGGCCCCGCATCAGGCTCCCTGCTGGGCGGGAGGCCTGCTTCTCCCTCTCCCACTCCCCCTGCTTATGTTCCCTCTCTTGCTGTGTCTCTCTCTGTCAAATAAACAAAACCTTAAAAAAAAAAAAAATCAAAGACAGATTTCTCTGGCTCAGGGATTTAAAGAATAAAAAAAAATTACAAAAGTATCATTAGAGAAGACATAGGGGAACTTTTTGATAATCTTGGAGTAGGAGTAATCTTTCGCATCAAGATTGAAAAGGTACAGGCCATGAAGGAAAAGACAAATCTGACTACATGAAAATTGTAAATATCTGCAAAATAAATTGATAAGTGACAAATTAATAGTGACAAATGGAAAGAAAGGCAAAGGCGTAATGGAGCACAGAAAAAAGAAACCCTAATAATAGCGGAAAAGCATTCAGTTTCATGTTAGTAAAAGAAATGCAAATGGAAACACAGTATCACCTTCACCTATCAGTTAGGAAATGTGACCAGGAAGTTCTGGAAAGGGCAGAGGAAGCATGCACCCCCTGATATTCCCGGTGGGAACATAAAACACGTGCAGCCAATCGCCAGACTGCTTCTAAATGACAAAAAATTTAGAAGGCACATTCTTTCAATAGGACCTTCTGCAGATACACTCACACATCTACACCAAGACTTTGGAACAGAGGCGTTCACTGCAGCATTATTTGTAATAGCCAAACAGCAGAAATGTCCTGCCGTCCACCAATAAGGAATTAGCACAACGCCACAGTGGAATGTTTTGCAGCCTAGAAGAAAAACAGAGTAGCAACACTCTTTATGGGCTGATGATGCTGATTAACGTTGCCGAGCACTTACTAAGTACTTACATGGATTATTTGATATGGAATCATCTCTAAAACACAGTGTTAACACGAAACAAAAGAAAAAGCAGCAGCAAAGAGTTAAAGAGTGAATGGTGTGCTCCTACTACATTTAAAAAACACTCAGCTGGACACACATACGTTTATCTATCTACACAGAAAATTTCTGGAAGGATACACAGCAACTGCCTCTAAGGAGGAGGAACTGGGGATTCAGGGTGTGAGGGAGACTTTTCATGGAATACTGTTTTGTATTGTTTGCCAATCATAACGCTAACTAATAAAATCACAAGTTTCAGAACGATCTGTATAGTATGATCCCTTTATATAGTCAAAAGAAATTTCTATCTACATGGATACATACTTATGCATGCCTAGAAAAGTCTGGGATGACGGGTGCCCACCATCAACACCATGAACCCTGAAGAAGGAAGTGAAGAGAGTGGGGATGTTGGAGAGAGGGGAGAGGCGCTGGTAAAAACCAACCAGAAGAAGCACACGGGTAGAAGGTGCTTTTATAATAAAAACAGGAAAAGACAGGTTTTTATTAAAATTTAGCAGACACCTGCTACAGTATGAATCTCATTAAGTCACATCAATTTCAAGAGCGGTAAAGCGTGGTGATTGTGTTTTGTAGGTTAGCAGCTAAAGAACAGAATCACAGATAGTTATGGCTACGGGAAACCTTAGCGTTCCCCTAAGCCAGCTAGGGTTCTCCTGGTTCCGACCAGGAGCCTAGCCCAGTGCAGCTGTCCCCTGGCTGGTTAATGACAATGCTGGGTGAGAGCGCAGCTCATTCTGCTTTAGGTAGGGGCTTTTCCCACCACATCGTGCTGGCCTTGACCACCAAACCTTCCGGGGGCTTCTCCACCCTGGGGCTCCCAGGACTGCCCACTTAACTTTGCCACTGCTCAGCATCCCGCTAAAATCAGGAACAAGGCTAGTAATACTAATTCAGAATTTTCCCAGAGACTCCCTGCTAACCTGGGAAAACTGGAAGTTTAACCAATTAGGAATGCCCTCCTTCTTTGTTTTACTTGTATTTTAATCTACTGAGGGGACATGGTGTAAAGGGATGGGGGGAAGGGGGCCGAAGGAGAAATCATAGAGTAATAGCCCTCCTGCACGGCGCACGTATTATATGGGGGTTGTTGTTAACAAGAGGTCCAAGAATCATGCAGGCAAGGATCCTATTACATGTATATGGACTGACGGCAGCTGGAAGGCATGAGGGCAGGGCAGGGAACGACAAGCAGAAAAGGGGGCACAGAGTCAGTGGCCGGTGCTGGGACCCCCTCTTCCACCAACTGGATGAATAACCAAAGAGGAAGGTTGGAGAACAGAGAAAACCATAGTACTCTGGCATTGGCTAGGCTGGTTTTACATATAATTAAAGCCAAGCGATGGGGATGTGAGGTTGTACCTGAGATCGGAAGCTGACTTCATATTACCAGTACTTACTGCCAATACACTTCAGCCCAGATTCCCGGCCAAAACTGCATAAGCACTTGGATTCTGAGAGGAAGTGTCAAAGCACTGATCACATTTTGCAAGTACTATTTCAATAGTGTCATTATCTGTGTGCTTTGACATAACCTCTTTACATGATGATAAACTCCATAACGACTACCTGTAAGTTCTCCATGGTAGCTGGGATTTTTACAATAGTGACAAAACAGTAAGCAGCAGGTACTCCTCAAGGAGGGCTCACTACACGCCAAGCACCCTCCCTGCACATCACTGAATCCTCACGACAATCCTATAAGGCAGGTGTACTTTTATTATCCCTATTTCAGATGAAAACAACAAAGCAAAAAACAAAAATTAAGGCACAAAGAGGTTAAGTAACTTGTCCAAGGTCACACAGTTAGTAAAGGGTGAGAACCACCTTGTATTCAACATCCCCCCAGGAGGAGGGGCTGGTCCCATGAGGTGCTTTCCATGGATTTCCTCCAGCTTTAACAACAACCTTGCAGCGTAAGCACATTCAGTCCTACTCTAGATAATGACACGAAGGTCCAGAAAGGCTAAGTTGCTCGTTGGCCTTGAGGAAGTGGCAGGGCTAGTCCTCAGTCTCAGTTCCGTCTGGTTCCAAAGCCAGTGCTGTCCCCGCTCTACCAGTGGACTTCGCGCAGCAGAAATACTTCCAAACTGGGCCGTGACGGGAGTTAGTTACCCATATACATCTTGCCAGGTATGGATATTCAAAACAACCACAACAGACAAAACCACCATCTACTTTCACTACCGAGGGAACAAAGCAAGGAGACCTTAACGTGGAAAACTGGAAAGCAGGTAACAAGACCACAAACCAGAAAATCCCCACTGACCTCAACACTGTCTTGTCCCTACTTCCCTCACCATTCCACGCACCAGTGAAAAGGGCCAAGTACGGACAAGCACCGTGCCTGAGAACCAACCAGGCCACAGGGGCTCTCCCTGAAATCTAGCCGGTCAGCCGCCCAATGCCGGCATTCATTCGGTTACAGTGATGGCTGCATCTGTCTATTCACCCACCTGTCTACCTTTCTCCCCTGCAAAAGACAAAGGCAGAAAAAGTCATTTATAGTTTTTAAAAAATCATTTCTGTAGGACTTCTCCCAAGACACCAAAATACCTTTTCATCCTGAACCCTTTCGTAAAGAGATTTTTTTTTTTTTAATTCTCCTTAAAGTAGTAAAAGTGCTGTCTTTGAGAACCCAACAAAAAGACAAGCTTCACGTTAGGCCAATTCTAAGAATAATTTTACTACTACCTGACATTTTACGTGCAGCCCTCCCGTGGCACATGACTTTTCTCAACCAGTGGAGCAATGAACAATTCCTGTCTCCAAGAAACACGGTGAATAGAAATTAATGTTTTTCAGCAGTCTTAAACTCTCTGGCGGCAGGACTTTGGCTTATGAATTGCAAACTAACCAATTCAAAAGCACGGAACTTTCATTTTAACTTCACATTAATTCTTGCCAGGAGAAAATACTTTTTCCAAGAAAGAGCAATAACATCTTATGCCTTCACTCCATGAGTTTAATTGTTTGGAAGGCATTTTCCGAGGACTTATCTTTTTGGCAATCCCTAGTGTTCTTTGGAAAACTGCACAAATGCATAAATTTACTAGGTGAAGTGCCATAAACTCTCAACTACCCAACACAGTAAGGAAATGTGGTATTCAAATATTCACGTTAAAAAAGTCACCCAACATTAATTATGCCTCCAAAAAAAAAAAAAAAAAAGGATTAAGCAGTCACTCTGTTGGCGATTTACGGGCAAAAATTTTTCTAAGAATTACAACATCATAAAGTATACCTAATAAACCACAGTGAACAGTGTTTAATCTTTCTGATGATTAAGGAGGGTCTTGAGGATTTGCATTATAAACAGGATTTGTCTTGGCATGAGAGCAACGTGCCAATTATTAGGGAATTCTAGTTGAAGACAAGCCAGGTGACAGATGACTGCATTATTTCTACTAAAGTAGAATTCGGCTTTTAAACAACTGGCTTGGGGGCCAGAAACCCCTGACTCTGTGTCCAAGCTCTTCCATTTCCCAGCTGTGGAGTCTGGGGCAAGTTACTCCAGCCCTCAGATTCCTCTCCTCAGAGTAAAACACTCCTCTGCTGGGATGCTGGATTCCTTTTCCAGCTCCGCCAGTGACTTGGGCTGCAAAGGTTGACCTGGCCTCAGTACCTTTTTTGTAAAGAAAATAAAGAACCACCAACAGAAGTAGCTATGCCATATGGCTTAAATCCGGAGGAGGACTGCCATCGAGTTATTTAAAACAGTTGGGAAGAGGAAGGTCAAGGGAAGGGAAGATGTGGGGAACAGAAAGAGAATTAAAAAGAGGCCTTCATAATAGAGAAGCTACCGCCTTTCCATTCCACCAAAAGAAATGGTCTCCCTGAAAACAGAGGTCTTGAGCGCCCCCTTGGGGTGAACGGCTGGAATTCCGTCCTTAGTACAGGTCACGCTTCCAGCAGAAAGAGACCCCATTGTTTTGAAAAAATACTTAAGATTTTAAAGAATGCTGTTACAGTCCAGCTGAGTTTCTGCTTTATCCTACAACATTCTAAATTATCCACAGTAATCTCCTTAAATATTTTCATAATGTGTTTAATAACTCTGTTCAATATTTTAAAATATTTTTATATATTTTTCATGCTTCGTTCAGCAAATTCTGAGATGACCACAAAACCAAAGTCTATGAGATTTCAAAAGATGGTCAGGCTGAAAGCATTCAGAACAAAGTCAAGTCAATTATTACCGCCACATGCTTCTCTATAACTAATAAAGAGCAGAAGTTACTAATAGAAAAAAGTAAGAGTTCTTAATTTGTTTCTTTTTTGCCCTCTAGTTTAGCACATAAATATTATAAGATGCATAATAATCAGTTACCTTAATGGAAGTTAGCAAATACATAGTTGTTAATATTACATCGTGAAAGGACTATTTAGTTACCTTCCTAACATATGTGTTTTAGGTAACAAGAAAACGAGCGTGCGTAGCTCGACCTCACGTGCAGATGGTAGCCGGGCCAATCAGAAACCATCTGAGGTCTACATATTACGACCTGTTGATTTTGATAAAATAAAAACCCTTTTTATAATAGATGTGCAGGGGGTGCCTGGGTGGCTCAGTCGGTTAAGCATCTGCCTTCGGCTCAGGTCACGATCTCAGAGTTCTGGGATCCCGCCACATATATGTATATAAAAGATGTGCAGTAGGGCGCCTGGGTGGCTCAGTTGGTTGAGTGACTGCCTTCGGCTCAGGTCATGATCCTGGAGTCCCGGGATCGAGTCCCACATCGGGCTCTCTGTGCAACAGGGAGTCTGCTTCTCCCTCTGACCCTCTTCCCTCTCGTGCTATCTCTCATTCTCTCTCTCTCAAATAAATAAAATCTTTAAAAAAAAAGATGTGCAGTAATAAATGATAACAGATGGAGGGCAAAGTTACAAACTAAATATCAGAATATTCCAGTTGTGTTAAAAATAAGGCCCCCATTCTTTATGGAAATTAAACTTTTACTTGAAACGTTAGTGTGTTAGTAATTGAATATTTGGAAACCCCTGCAATTAATGTAAGCAAACCTCCCTGGTAGCGTAAGGGGTTACACTTGGGAGAAAATAATTGTTAAAACATTTTCTATTATTTGGTCAAAAAGCTATATTCCTACATTTTCCCACTTAAAATCAGGCAGTAATAACCACTTTTTGAGATACTCAAATCTGGCTTTTTGGTATGAACTGATAATGTGAAGAAATGAGAGAGGAGCGGGTTGAGGCCAGTTTTCAAACCAATATAAACTCAGGTTTAAAGGACTGGTTTAGGTAACAGGTCACATGTATTTTCCTAAATTGATCAGATTATGAACTTCTAAAAAAAAAAAAGTTTCAGTACTTGACAGTGTTGGTGGGAGGCTGAAATGGTGGTACAACTTGCTTCAAGCAAGCGCTTCCTGCCCACCCCCGCCCCTGCCCAAGAACTCCCAAGCCAGGGGCAGCCTCTGTGCTTCTTGAAGAATATGAAGGCAAACGAGTCCCATCTCAATAATCTACATAAACAGGGATAAATCTCTGACAGTGTATGATTTCTACCGGTACTGGCCTCTCGGAAAAGAGAATGGATCACTCAAAAGTCTGGACGCTGCAGCATAATCACAGCTCGGGACTGTCATGGACGGTCCCCTGTGGGAGCAGTGGTTCACCATCTTCAGGACAGCCTAGACAGGGGGCAGCGCAGGGCTCAGAGCAGACACAGCACCAGCAGAAAGCACTCGCTTCCTACACGGTAAAGGTTACACCAAAATAAATACCCAAATAAGCTGATGCCTTCAGTACGTCTTACTTCACCAGCATATTCACTGTAAACCATGTAACAGACACTTAAAATAGAAATCGAGATTATAGGCAATATTTTGGAAACCAGGTCTTCCTCAAGCTGTGGAAAAATCTGGGTGGCCCAGATTCCTTCCTTTCTTCAAATAAGACTGCTTTTCCTCCCACTCTAAAAAAGAGGTGGAAATGTTTACATGGATACATCTGATGTGTTGACACAGCTCTTAGCAATAAGTCCTTCAAAAGGGCGATCTTTTCCTTCAGATTCTGCAACAAAGTTCTGATTGTCACGGTAAGCTGGAAAGAAAAGAACACATCCTAAGTATGCTGGTCCAGAGGTGTAGGGTCTACTAAAAATAGCACATAAACATACTATGATTCCCTCAAGGGCAAGCTGGCAGAGACGCCTAACCTCCCAAGGATACCCTCAGGGCTAGGAGGTATCTAAATTTTGATCCAGTCACCCACCTGATGCTTGGATCCATTCTCTGCTGTGACCAGGAGGTAAGCTGGGCCATACCTGGATAGGTACTGACTAGAGACTGCCACTTGGCCCTCACAGTCTGAATTCTGTCCCCTGAGCATCTACCCTCTGATCCTATCTGCCCACCTTGGAGCCATGCAGGAAATTGGGTTCCCTAGTCTTCATTCACCAGTGAAAACCTCACAGATCCTTCAACCATGCTTCAAAGGACAAGACATCAAGTCCCACTGCCATCCCGACCAGTCTTCTCTAAATACACTGGTATACTTAAAACCCATTTAAAAGTTTTACAGCAGTGTGCCCTTCTTACACAACGTTAACCACACGTGACTGTTTTTCCAAGACTGTGTGAATTTTCTCAATCATTCTACAGACCCAGAGGAAACTTTGGTTTGTGACTCTGAGTGCTGCCCTGAAGGATGGAGGAGGGTGGGGAGAGAGGCTCTCAGGAATTGAGAAATATGAAACATAAAAGTGCCCATGTAAATTAAATCCAGTCAGCCATGGGTGAAATCAGAGATATGTTTTCAAAAGACAGACTATCACAGATTTCATTTGCTACCGTGTTCAGAGTAGCAATTACAAACCTGCAGTGGAATCCAGGGCTCCCTCCCTAGATTAGCAGGGTCACACTAAGGAAAAAAACAGCAGGACGCCACAGGCTGGCCGAGGGTTACACACATCAAGCAACCCTCAAAGGTATCAGCAGCCAAGAAAAGTCTAACCTTAACTATTCTAATACCTCTGGGAACCATGGAAAAACCACCCACAATGTTTATGAGGAAATACCAAGGAAAGCAGATCTCCCCTCATTCAAGTAATAAAGAGCAAATCAAATGAACAAAAAAAAGCACAACACATGCGTGCACACACACACATGCTCGCATGTGCACACACACATGCACATCCAACCTAAGAACATTCTACAAAATTAAAGCTCAAAAGCATTCAAGAGATGAAAGAGAATGTAGCCATTAAAAAAGTATGATTGAAATCTCAATCTGTGAACACAGAAAGAAAGCCATCATAATTTATTCAAAGAAAAAAAAATCAAGTCATAAAATGAAATGTCATCCACATTGAGAAAAATCAATCCAGGAACTAAATACTTTAAAATGCCAAGGGAAGTTAACTCGAAGTAGTGGGATTTTTAAAATATTATATTAGAAAATGATTACTTTTATAATCAGGAAAAGTTTTCCATCATCATAATTTAACAGAAACTTTCCAAAGCACAGAAAAAAACAGAAGGCCTAATTTGTATTTTAAGCTGAACACGGCCGTGGTAACAAGCACTGACAGAGATACTGGGAAAAAAGAAACCACATGCCAATCTCCCATAAGGATTATAAAATACAAAAGTCTTTAAAAAATATTAGCAAAGCAAATTCAGAATTATGTTAAAATGACAATATGCCATCACCAAGTAGAATTTATCCTAGTAATTTAAGAACAGTTTGATGGTAGAAAATCTAATAATAAAGCTGACAGCATTAATGATTAATACAGCATAGGGGGAATTAATTAAAAACAAAACAAAAACAGAGAAAGAAAATGGAATGGAACGTTGCTGCCTTAACTACAACATTATCCAACCGTGGTCTAGAAGTTCTAACCAATGCAATAAGACAAGTCAAAGAAATACACAAGGGCGGGGCCCCTGGGTGGCTCAGTCCTTAAGCGGCTCAGGTCATGATCCCAGGGTCCTGGGTTCGAGCCCTGCATCGGGCTCCCTGCTCAGCGGGAAGCCTGCTTCTCCCTCTCCCACTCCCCCTGCTTGTGTTCCCTCTCTCGCTGTGTCTCTCTGTCAAATAAATAAATTTTAAAAATCTTAAAAAAAAAATACACAAGGGCTGGAAAGAAGGAGAGGAAATTCATTATTTCCAAATGGATTAGTCTGTTTGGGAAAATTAAGTGCAGCCACTGACAGATTACTAGGAACAGGAAAAGAAATCAGTAATCAACTGCAAAATGAAAAAAAACCTAGGGCATTTCTAAATTTAAGTAATAGGTGGGGAGAATTTTTTTTAATTATTATTTTTAAACATCATTAACAATGCCAACAAAACCTAAAACATACCCAGCACAGTGCCTGCCTGGCACACAGCGACTGCGCAGGAAATATTCGGTGGAGGAATGAGTAAAAGGAAACACTTAATATTGTAGAAATGTAAATGTCCCCCAATTTAATCTATAAATAAACTACACATCTATTCAAAGTCCCATTTGGAGTTCTTTTATTGGAAAAGAGGTGGTAATTGAGGCTCAGTACAAAAGAATTTTAATGAAGCTATGCAAAATTATTCTAAAACATGGATAAAGGGAAATATAGAAAGATAAGGAATAGGTGTGATAGAGGGGGACTTTGACAATCAGATCTGAAGTTTTTATAATAACCACAAGAGTATGATGCTGGCAGTTAGCAAAAGCTTAATCTTTAGTGCAACAGTACAGAAGGTCCAGGAATAGTGCAGCTGAGCAAAAATTGGGTGAATGAAATACAGAATATTTCAGATCGTGGGGGGTAAGGTAAGGAATAATTTAGCAAATGGAAAAAAAGTAAAATTAGATGCCAACAACATACCAAAACAAACTTCAAATATTTTAAACATGCGTGTTTAAAAATAAAAACTGAAGGAAAGCTTGAAGAAGATTTAGGCGATCAGATAAAATATTTATACAATCTCTGGGTATGAAAGACCTTTCTCAGCATTATCTCCCCTTTCTAGAAGAAAAGACCACAAATAAAAATACTGAAAATTTCAAATAGAGTTTAAAAACAAGTACATGTCCAAAAAAGTGTCATTTATAAAATCAAAAGCCAAATTAAAAGAAAAAATACTGGTACCAAATATGCCAGATCAAGCATTACTATAGTCAACACACACAAAAAGAACACTGAGATTAAGAAATAACAGGTTAGGGGCGCCTGGGTGGCTCGGTCGTTAAGTGTCTGCCTTCAGCTCAGGTCATGATCCCGGGGTCCTGGGACCGAGCCCCGCATCAGGCTCCCTGCTCTACGGGAAGCCTGCTTCTCCCTCTTCCACCCCCTCTGCTTGTGTTCCATCTCTCGCTGTGTAGAGACACATCTGTCAAATAAATAAATAAATCTTTAAAAAATAAAGAAAAGAAACAACAGGTTAGGTCAAGGACATATACTGTCAATTCACAAAGGAAGAAATATGAGTGTCCAATAAATATATGAAAACATGTTCAATGGCATAAGTAATTAAAAAAAAAATCTACTGTACAATTTCACCTAACAGAATGAGAATGATTTTTAAAAGATAATCAGAATTGGTACAGAATTATATGTACAAGAGGCTTAAGATTTCATACGACCAGGGCGCCTGGGTGGCTCAGTTGTTAAGCGTCTGCCTTTGGCTCAGCTCATGATCCCAGGGTCCTGGGATCGAGCCCCACATCTGGCTCCCTGCTCAGCGGGAAGCCTGCTTCTCCCTCTCCCACTCCCCCTGCTTGTGTTACCTCTCATGCTGTCTGTCTGTCAAATAAATAAATACAATCTTAAAAAATAAATAAAAGTTAAAAAAAAAAGATTTCATACGACCTAAATCCAGAAAGTCTACACTGAGAAATTACTCTCACGTGGGCAATAATTTAGCCACACTGAAAACTCATTTATAAATTAGAAATAATCTAACTTATCCAAGAAGATGATACCAGTTAAATGAATCAGAGATCTAAATGTAAAAAGTGAAACCATATGTTTATTAGAAGAAAACAGGAATAAATTCCTTACATCCCAGAAACTGCAAAAGTTATGAGTGAAAATGCAGAAGCAATTAAAGATCATTAGCCAACTCTGTTTAAAAAAACCAAAACTTGGGCGCCTGGGTGGCTCAGATGGTTGAGCGTCTGCCTTCAGCTCAGGTCATGATCCCAGGGTCCTGGGATCGAGTCCCGCATCGGGCTCCCTGCTCCTTGGGAGCCTGCTTCTCCCTCTGCCTCTCTCTCTCTCTCTCTCTCTCTCTCTCTCATGAATAAATAAATAAAATCTTAAAAAAAACTTTCACATGGCAGATGATACCATGGGCAAAGCCAAACAACAAATGATAAAGAAAATAAATTATAATCTGTCACCAAGAACTAAATTTCCGTATTATGTAAGGAACTCTTAAAGACTAAAAAGACCAACAATCCAATAAAAAAGATGGGCAAAAGATAAGAACTTCTCAGAAAAATGTATATAAATAATGCTTAAGCATGTGAAAACATACTTCCCTTGATTCGTACATAAAAAATGCACATTTGAAACTACACTGAAATACCATGTGTCACTTATCTGACCGGCAACAACTTGGTAGACTGAGAACACCATCTGTTAGCCAGCCCGTGAAGAAACAGAAACTTGTGTTCTGCTGGTCAGGGCGCCAAAGGTAAGCACACCTGTGGAGGGGAATTTGCCAATGGGTAAAAAAAAAAAAAAAAAAAATCACATACACCCTGGTTCTGAGAATTCACCCTTATAAGACACCTCCACAAATACAGGGAAGGAAAAAGCATAAAGGTATTTATTGCAGCATTTTTCATAACAGCAAAACAGTAGAAACAATCCAAACACCCATCTTTAGACAGGTTAAACGGACATGACACATCTGGGCAATACAGTATTATATGGCCCTAAAGAAGAAGAGCAAAGATCTCAGTGAATTGATATGGAGGTTCACTACAATGTAGTATTAAATAAAAAGAGCAAGATACAAAAGAGTATCTTTTTGCGTAAAAGGAAGGGAAATGAGAACACACACACATATACACAGATGCCTATTTCTGCAAAAAGTTAACACAGGAAGAATAAACCAAAATTAATGAAAATGGTTACATATAAGAAGTATTAAAAATTCGTATAATAAACCCACAATTATATATGGTCCATTAATCTCTGACAAAGCAGGAAAGAATATCCAATGGGAAAAAACAGTCTCTTCAACAAACGGTGTTGGGAAAGGTGTGGAACGGTGTTGGACAGCAACATGCAGGAAGAAACTGGACCACTCTCTTACACCACACACAAAAATAAACTCAAGTGGATTAAAGACTTAAATATGAGGCCTGAAACCATAAAAATCCTGGAAGAGAGCACAGGCAGTAAAAACTGGCCAGAGCAATGTTTTTCTTTTTTGTTGTTGTTGTTTTTTAAAGATTTATTTATTTATTTGTCAGAGAGGGAAGACAAGCAGGAGAAGCAGCAGAGGGAGAGGGAGAAGCAGGCTCCCCACTGAGCAGGGAGCCCGATGTGGGGCTCGGTCCTGACCTGAGCCGAAGGCAGGCACTTAACAACGGAGCCACCCGGGTGCCCCGCAACGTTTTTCTAGATATGTCTCCTAAGGCAAGGCAAATAAAAGCAAAAATAAACTACTGGGACCACATCAAAACAAAAAGCTTCTGAACAGCAAAGGAAACAATCAACAAAACAAAGAGGCAATCTACTGAATGGGAGAAGATATTTGCAAAGGACATAAGTGAAAAAGGGTTACTATCCAAAATATATAAAGAACTGATACAATTCAACACCCTAAAACAAGTAATCCAATTAAAAATGGGCAGAAGACATGAACAGACATTTCTCCAAAGAAGACATCCAGATGGCTAACAGACACATGAAAAGATGCTCAACATGCCTCATCATCAGGGAAACGCAAATCAAAACTACAAGATACCACCTCACACATGTCAGCATGGTTAAAACCAGCAATAAAAGAAACAACAAGTGTTGGCAAGGATGTGGAGAAAAAGGAACCTTCGTGCACCACTGGTGGGAATGCAAACCGGTGCAGTCACTGTGGAACAATATGGAGGTCCCTCAAAAAGTTAAAAATAAAACTGCCCAATGATCCAGTAATCACCCTACTGGTTCTGAGAATTCACCCTTGTAAGACACCTCCACAAATATAAGGAGGGAAAATGCATAAAGGTATTTATTGCAGCATTTTTCATAACAGCAAAATAGTAGAAACAATCCAAACACCCATCCTACCAAAGAATACAAAAACACGAATTCAAAGGGGTACATGCACCCCGATGTTTACAGCAGCATTATTTACAATAGCCAAGCTATGGAGGCAGCCCGAGTGTCCACTGATAGATAAATGGATAAAGATGTGGTATATAGATACAATGGAATATTACTCAGCCATCAAAAAATAATGAAATCTTGCCATTTGCAACATGGATGGAGCTAGAGAGTATAATGCTAAGTGAGATAAGTCAGAGAAAAACAAATACCATACGATTTCACTCATAGGTGGAATTTGAGAAAAAAAACAAAGGAACAAAGGGAAAACGAAAAAGAGAGACAGATCAAGAAACAGACTCAACTACGGAGAACAAACTGGTGGTTATCACAGGGCAGAGGGGTGGGGGATGGGGAAATAAGTGATGGGGATTAAAGAGTAAGTAGAAAAAAAATGAATAAAAACAGATGCAAAGGACACCATAAAACACAGGGGAAAAAAAAAAGAATCCATCCTAATAACTTTAGAACAGAATAACCTCAGTATTATTAGTGGGATATTAGTTTTAAAAAGTCAAAAAAAAAATAAAGACGAATTCCAACTTAGTGTTTATGGTGGTACCTGTGTAGTAATTCTGAAACTGTTTTCTGGAAACTATAAAACAGACCAAGTGAGCAAAAAGATGTCATTGTTTTTGGAAACCAAAGTTCTGACTGCTGGAAAAGAAAAAAAGGAATTTGGAATGGAGAAGGTTAGAAACTCATGGCGTTGGACTTGAAGGTGCTAGCATGAACTTGTGAGCGTCTGAAAAATATATTTCCTAGTCAAATCCTGCCACTGTTTTTGTACAGCCTGTAAGCCACTTACATTTTCTCACATAAAATGTAAAAAAGGCTATTATCCTTTTGGCAAGAATAGATCCTCCAAGAGGTGAAGATGTCACCTCTTGTCCTGCAAAGGCTGGGAGATTTACTGTCTGGGGTTTGAACTAGATTACGAAATTGTTGGAAAATTTTAAGGTGAAGTAGGAGAAATTAAACAGGTGTCATGCTTCATTTAGTCTCAGTTATAATGATTAACTGATTGGTTGTAATGTCAATTCCACACGTGTAAGTTTGGAGGTCATTACACACACACACACACACACACACACACACACACACACGGAGCCTCAGCAGCAGGAGGGTTTTCAGACGTCCAAGCTCAAAGAAATCATTCGAAGGACTAATTTCCTCCTGGTCTTACCCTGATTGTATTTTCACCATTTCTTTCATACTGATTTTGCTGTTGGATTTTCTCGGCAATCTCTTGTGCAATTTGGCAGGTAGAATCGTACGTGGAGAACCTGCATCGAAGTCGTAAAGAGAGAAGGATGTTAAGGTTCTTTAAGAGATGATTTCCGCATTATCTGAGCTTCAGTTTTTTTTTTTTTTTTTAATTCTAGCCGCAGATTCAAACAGAAGGAGAGGGTAGTAATAGTGACAGTCCTAGGGACATGTGTTGCTATTACAGTAAATAACGATGAGCTGGGCTCTATCCTGAATGCTTCGTTTGTAATAATTCACTTAATCCACACAAAAACAACAGGAGATGCGTCCCATTACCATCTCCACCTTACAAGGGAGAAAAGCAGGCACAAAGAGGTAGAGCAACTTGCCCAAGAGGTAGCAGCCACAAACCAAGGCTGTCCAGCCCTGAGCCTCTGCTCCTAACCACTTCGCCATTCTACGGTCACGTGTTTGAATTCATTCACTTCTAGAACATTCAGCAAACATTTACGGAGGGCCTCCTTTGTACTGAGCACTGTTCTGGGCCCTGGAGAACAGAGCAGTGAACAAAATGGACAAAGTCCCTACTCAAGGAGCTTAGCGAAGGGAGAAAGGCATAAGATAAATAAATATGGAGTAGTCAAGCGCTAAGAAGAAAAATAAAGCAGGATAAAAGAACAAGAGAGTGACAGGCAAGATGAGGAAGGCAGCCAGGCAGGGGAAGAGCTTTACAAAACAGGGACAGCAAGTAGTGTTCATCCTAAAACTAAATGCTCTAGGGACATGGGACACACACCCTCCTGATAGCTAAGCTTACCAGAACTCTCTCAGAACATTTGCTGAGTTTCTATTTGGCATTCAAAGCGTTGGAGGCTTTGGAAAAATTCACAGTGAATTCACAGTCGTCTCTTATTTTGTCCTTCTGTGACGGCCTTACTATTTGTTTCACAGAGAATAGCTAAGTGTGCACACACACAGCATCTCTCCTACCAGGTAGTCTGCTCAATACGACCAACATATTTCCCAGGACTGTCCCAGTACCAAATACTGAAAACTGCTGCTTCACCTAATGCCCCAATTTCTGCTTGAAAAAAGTAAATGATCCATTTCTTAACATCTTTGAACTCCCACATGTTACACCTACACTGAGGGAACTTGGCAAATGTGTTTTTCAGTGATGGGAAAAACAATCTCCGATTGCTTCCCTTGGCGATCTTACTATAGTAATTGCAGCAATGGGTAACAGTTGAGTACCTGTTCTGGGCCAGGTCCTGGGCTAAGAGTGTTACATTCTGATTCACATCCCATGAGGTAGGATCTTTAACAACTCCCCACTATACGTTAAAGTAGCATCATGCATATGTGTGTGTGTGTGTGTGTGTGTGTGTGTATGTTCATGTATACAGAAAAAGAGCAGGTGATACAACACATAATTAAGAATATAGGAGGGAAGGGGCGCCTGGGTGGCTCAGTCGGTTAAGCGTCTGACTCTTGATTTCAGCTCAGGTCATAATCTCAGGGTCATGAGATCGAGCCCCACATCAGGCTCTGCACTGAGCATGGAGCCTGCTTGAGAGTCTCTCTCTCTCCCTCTGCCCCTCTCCCCAACCAAAAAAAAAAAAAAAAGAAAAGAAAAGAAAATAGGAAGGAAGCTGGTAAGGAAACTGGGTCCTGGCCCCTCTTTGCCACATTTCCCCTTTTCCCCTCCATACTGTCCTCTCTGAAAAGAGGAGCTTAGGTCTGGCTCTGTGGTCCCAGACCATACCAATGAAGATCAATAATAAGTTACGATACAGCTCCTGCAAAACATCAAATCTGAAAGTGAGAGGAATAACTGGCGGCCGAGGGCACTCAGACTTGACTAGGCTGGGCCAAGAGGGTGCATCCTGGGCTGAACTGCAAGGTTGAAGCAGGGGGGAGGGACACATCCTAGACTTGGCAGATGGCACAAGGAGCAAGCAAGGGTGAAAGGAAGGAAATGGAAGGACATGTCCCCGGTGCATTCGGCTGCACGGCCCCGGGTGGGAGGATCAGCATCAGAGGGTACAGAAGCTAGTTTCTGCAGAGCCTCGAACACCAGGATAATCAGGTGAGACTTTTGAAAGAGGGCTTCAGAGCTGTAGGGGGACCCTTTCACACATTGAGTGAGCCCTTGAAGAGGTTCTGTGAAATGCAGAAGGCCAAAATCCCAGATGTTTTGCTCCCACTCCTCACATTACCACGTTAGCCCTGGAGAGCGGTGGTTCTAAAACTTCGCTGGCACTGGAATCACCAGGGGAATCTTGAAACAACAACATCACAGCTAAATCCCGGCCCCCAGCCCCACGCATTCTGTTTAAACTGGAATGGGGTTTGACCTGGACTCAAGGACTTGTGAAAGCTCCCCCAGGTCTTCCGATCCATACCACAGTTTGAGAACCACGGGCCTAGAGGTCATGGGCAGCCTCATCACTGTTACCAAGCACATAAGGGCCTACACCACTAGTTTAGGAACCTGAACTCATTTACACAAATGGCTGGGAACGAGAAGGGGGTGGCGGGAGACCAGAAAGCTTCTCCAGCTCTCCAGTTCTCTAACTGGTCCCCAGTGTCTACTGTCTGCGAGGCACGGGGCTAAAAGAGGGGACCACAGCATTAACAGATGGCATAAAAGAGATGCCAGAGCCATTTAAGAGAAAAACCAAAGACTTAGTAATCTGATAGGAGGAGTGAAGAAAAAGGGGATGATTGGAGTTTTCGGGCCTAATTGACTCAGAGGATGGTGATGCCCCGGCAGAGACCAAGGAGCCACAAAGGGGAGCAAAGAGGCAGTTCCCAGACTATGAACTGAGCCCCTGTTCTACCACAAAAACACTGAATGCACAACAGTTAGATTCATACATGTATGAGATTTACTTAAAAAAAAAATCTCAGGGGAAAAAAGACGTGGCGGATAGAGATGATATAAGTATGGCAGAATATTGGTAATTACAGGAACTGGGCGAGGAGTATAAAGGGGTTCATTATACTAGTCCACTTGGTATATATGTTACCTTCCATAACAGTTTTTAGAATAGACCCAAAAAAGGACCAACCAGAATACAAAACTGTTAAGGTCTGTTTAACCGTAATTTTTCCAGAAATGACGTATCATCAACAAATACGTTGCCCCAGCAGTAAAGTTCATTAACTCTAGCAATGAACCAGTTAAGAGACAGTAATCACTTGCTACTTCTATTAAAAAGTGAGCTTGTCACTCACTGCTATATTCCATTTTTGTTATTATTATGTTCAATTAGCCAAAATACATTCCATTATATCCCTCAGGAGTAAAGCATCATTGACATATGATTTTTCAAGAGCACAAAGGCAAAGCTGTATGCAGTCAAGTCTGTTTTCATGGGTTTTTTTCAAAGTCCCGTTCCATACTCCTTCTGCCCTGAAGTCTTCATCAGCAACCTACTTTGCAAGGTACCCGATGCTAACACAGCAGAGTTCCCTCACTGTTTCACCATCAACAGTCAGATGAGAAAGCCGTTGGGTCAAACTCCTTGAGAGTAACAGGAAACACGATGTGCTCTCAGCATAAACTGGGGAAGAGGCTTGGGGTCCAATGATCGCTTCCACCAATCTAAATGGATAACCATCTCTGAGCTTTATATCCTACCTTATGTGTAAAGTGAGGGGTTTAGCTCCCAGGAGGTGGACGGCAATTTAGCAATACATATCAAGGGCCTTAAAAATGTTCATATCCTTCGGTTATTATTTTTTTATTATGTTCATCACCATACATTACATCATTAGTTTTTGATGTAGCGTTCCATGATTCATTATTTGCGTATTAACACCCAGTGCTCCACGCAGAACGTGCCCTCTTTAATACCCATCACCAGGCTAACCCATCCCCCACCCCCCTCCCCCCTAGAACCCTCAGTTTGTTTTTCAGAGTCCATCGTCTCTCATGGTTCATCTCCTTCAATCCAATAGCCCCACTTCCAGAAAGCAAGTGGAGGAAATAAGGAATGGAACAAAGGGGCAGTCTTTGCAATAGTTAAACAAAAACAAACTCTAACATTACAAAGAGGGAAATAAGTAAATAAACTATGGTTATTCATACGATGCACTATTACGTACCATAAAAAAAAATGTTTTCAGTAAATATTTAATGACACGGAGAAATGTTCCTTGCTTTGTAAAACATGCAGGTTTCCCTCACTATCCAAAAATAGTCTTCCTACAAAACCTTTCCCAAGCCAAAATGGAGTAAAGCAAAGGGGCCAATTACCATAAATATATATGGAAAATTTTTTGAGCTTTCCTAGCCCCCCAAAAATAACCTCTCTTGGGCTTTTCTGATACCTTAGGGCCCATCTTGCTAACAGATACACAAAATAAACCAAGATAAAGCCCAGATGCTCACAAAGCTATGACAGCTTGATGCTGAGATGCTGAGATGCTGAGTGCAGTTCCCAGGCAAGGAGTTTGGGGGGGGTTACTCTTACTGACTGGGGGTGCAATGTCTCTATGACAGCTTGCTGCAAGACAAACGCTGAATGCTATTTTTGCTTCCCCCATTCTTTTTCACAAAAGCAAAAATCCTCTTCTGATTTCTTTTGGTTAGCAAAAACAGGTACTAAGGTAAGTCTTTCATAAAAGCAAAGGGGCATAATGTGAAGTCTCAAGAAGCGGAGATACTTGTACATACACCATATATATGTGTGCATATATACGTGTATATATGCATACTATATAAACTAATGTTTTCATTTTAAAATCATTAACAGCTATTATTCCAAATGATAAGAGTTGACGATGTGGGTTTTTTTTTCTCTGCAAATATTCAGTACTTTCTAAATTTTCTATCAGAGTGTATACAAGTGTTAAAATTAGGTGGAAAAAAATTAGAGTTACATCAAGTGACATTGGCGCAGGTAACCTAGATCCAAAGTAGTGCTAACTTTGATCCTGCAACCCATTCTCCTAATAGTCACACTGCCTACAATTTAAACAATTATAAATTATACCAGAAATATTAACAAGAACTTTATAGAGCTAGAATATGCTTTTAATCATTAAACAAACAAACAAAACTACAGTCCGACATGCCGTAGTAGTATGTTCCTTAGGATCAGACCTTGTGTCTTTTCATCATTCAGTCCTTAGGACTTAATTGGTTGAAGGAACGACCCTTATCAGCTTTTTTTTTTTTTTTTTTACTGCAGAGTTGCTGCAGCAGGAACAGCCTTCAAGATACTCAGATAAGGGTTAAATGCCTTATAAACAAATGCGTAATTTCCCCTCCCTGATTCCTCTAAGTTTTTTGAAGGGCCCACAAGATCCTAGCGCGAACTGGTTGCTAACTGGCGGGTGACCGTGGGTTCTGAACCTCGGTTTCTCCGCCTGGGAAGTAAGAGAGGGGAGGTCACCCGATGGACCGGCATTCCCCAAGAAGGTGACTTGAACTTCACTTTCCCGGGAGTCCAAGGAAGCCTGCACCAGCCAGCTCCGCAGCCAGGACGAGCGGGATATCCCCGCGGCCAGATGCAGCCGAGACGGGCTAAAGGCACGTGTCCGGGATTCGGTACTAGCCCCCGGCTCCCCGGAGTCCACCCTATCCCCCTCCCGGGCCACCCCTGCGAGCACCGAGGGTGGCGGGACGCGGCGCGGTCTCCCTGCGCACGGGAAGGGGCCTTGCTGCCCCGCCCCTCACCCTGAGGGGCTTCCCCGGCCCCAGAGCCCGGCTCCCGCCGGCTCCCCGGAGGCCCGGCCTCCCCCGCGGACCCTCGCCTCGGCCGCCCTCGCGCGGGGCTCACCAGGGGTCCGGGGCCATCGTGCAGTCTCCGCCCGCCGTCGGACACTTCCTGCTCGCGGCAGCTGACTACGGCGGCCCGCGCGGCTCATACCCCGCGGTTCGGCCCGGGCGCGACCGGAACCCGGAGTTTGCCGGGACAGCGTGCACGGGGCGGGGGGGGGGGGGGGCGGGCCGCAGAAGGATGATCAAGAAAGGGAAGCGGGCCCCAGGGAACATTAGGTTGGAGCTTTTTTAATGATACGGCGACCACCGAGAGACGCGAACAGCCGGGCGCAATTAAAATAAAATGGTTGGAACTAAAATCTAAGCATTTTCCCCGGAAGGTGGGAGCATCTCAAGACCTCCAGCAGTTACCGGAAATTTCATCGTGCTTTAAACAAAAAACAAAAGCAAAACTGGACAGTGGGCATAGTTGCCCAACTGCATAAATTTACCAAAACTCACTTAGAGTGAATTTTACATGCGAAGTGATAGCTCAAGAAAGCTTAAAAATTCTCTTCAATCCTACTTCAAACAAGGGACCCAAAGAAGTGGCCATTATATATTATCTTATAGCAGGCTTCCTTAAATGACACTCGGTGCTTGATTCTATGGTTAGGAAACAAAGCCACGGACGTGGAGGGAAAGCGTGCCCTCAGCGCCCCTAAATTTCTAGGAAAATAGGGGGAAAAAAGAAGCCCCATTCCTTTTGCAGGGGGAGCTCGGGGCGAGGCAGCCGGGAGTCCGCGCGGGCGTGGGTCTGGTGCGCATGCGCACGTCCGTTACCATACCGACCAGAAGACGCTGCGCCGCCGGAGGCCGAGCGGAGGGGAGAGCCCAGTCTCCAGAGGATGGAGAACCAAATGTCGCTCAAAGCCGAGGTGGCCGAGCTGGAGCTTGAGGCCGTGATCGGCTTCAACGGTGAGGCCTCGAGCGTGTCTGGGCTGGGCGGTTTGCAAGCCCCGGGGACGAGTAGTGCAAACAGGGACCGTGGGACACCGGGTGCACCTGGAAGGTAGCCCGGGACACTGGCCGGGGCCAAGCTCCCTCCTGCCCCAAAGTCCTGATGTCACTTCCTCGCTCCAAGTCTCAGGGACTAGGATGGTTTCGCAGCACCTAAAAGGGACAAGGGCCTCCTCCCCGGGCCCGAGGATGAGTAAGGCGGCCGTAACCCTTCTCCCCGCTGGTCAGCTCTGCCTTGGCCCTAAGCCCTCGCGCAGCGCCCAAAGCTGCCCGCCCCTCGGCAGCCGCGGGATTGCGAAGTCCGGGTCGGCCCCTGGGATCAAGAAACTCCTAGAATCCCAGCTGATGTGCTATGGGAAAGGGCTGGGGACCGAATGTGGGTGTGAGCAGCCGCTTTAGGGGGTGGTCTTGTCCCCTAACCCAAGAAGAACTCGTAATGGTGAAGATTTCAGACCCCGATAAAAGGCGGAAAGGACGCCAGGGGGAGCTGGAGGGGAGAGATGCTCCGGATCTGGGGATGCCTGCTGGTTCAGCTCACATCTTCTTTATGACTGCCTGTTATTTTGAACATTAAGGGGGGGAAGCTCTCTTTGATGTTGTGTGTGGAGGATGGAAACAAGCAATGCGTTACATTTTAGAAAAAGCAAACTTTTTTTTTTTTAAGTGCGTTGTGTAGCCTGAAAGTTTTAACATTGTAGTAATGCAGATGCAGAACAAAAGACTAAAGTTTTAGGCCCATTCTGGGACTTGGATCTCGACTCTTCGTTTTAGTTTAATAGTTTCTAATAGAAAGTGGGTGCTGGGGCACCTGGGTGGCTCAGTCGTTAGGCGTGTGCCTTCGGCTCCGGTCATGATCCCGGGGTCCTGGGATCGAGCCCCACATCGGGCTCCCTGCTCAGCGGGAAGCCTGCTTCTCCCTCTCCCACTCCCCCCACTTGTGTTCCCTCTCTCACTGTGTCTCTTTCTGTCAAATAAATAAAATCTTTAAAAAAAAAGAAGAAGAAGAAAAGAAAGTGGGTGCTTAGTGCATCTGAGAAGTTGGCTGGTGACAAGGTCATTGGTGAAGTGAGTGAGTGACCTCCGAGTGCAGGGGGTCACACCAGTGACCAGTGCAGAGCTTCACACACAGAGCTCTGGGACTGAGTTCATGCTGTTTTGTAGAGCTCTAAGAGTAAATACACGGTCCCTTATATTCCAATACCTCCCATGGCCATGACCCAGTATAGCTTTCACATGGAAACAAATTAGAAGCCAATGCAAATCCCCTTTTTCTCATTTTGACACCAGAACTCCTTGCAGAGTTACATTACAGTTTTGTGATTTTTAACTTGAGGGTGTAAATGTGTAATGGCACTTGACTATTCTAGGTATCGTATTTTGACAGGCATTTATTACGTAAGCAAACCAAATATAGTTGTACTGATTATGAAAACATTTTATAAAGCTATAGTTATTAAGAATTTGGTATTAGCGCAAGAATAGCCGCATTTATCAATTGACTGGAGTCCATAAGCCCATGGTTATCCTATCATGCAAAGAGTTTCTAAACTAAAAACAGCAACAATAAAACAATAGATCAAGGGTCTGCAGTCTATAGCCTGTTGGCCAAATCTGGCCCTCTGCTGGGATTTTAAATGAAGTTTTTTTGGAGCCCAGCCATGTGCATTTGTTGATATATTGTCGATGTCTGATTTTACTCTACAGTAGCATACTTGAGTAACTGTGGTCCCTAAGGCCTAAAATATTTACTATCTGGCCCTTTATAGAAAATATTTGCTGACCCCTGAAATAGGCAAAGAAATATAAATGGCTACTAGCTCAAAATGCTAAAAACAAAAAACAAACAAACAAAAATCCCTTTTTAAACAATGACTCTTTTTTCTCAGACTGGCAAAGCTACACCTGGGGATAATAGTAGGGTGAGAATAACAAATGGCTCTCAATTACTATTGTCAGAAGAATAAATTTTACAACCTTTTTGAAAGAGGTTTTATAGTACCCATTATGATTTTTAATGAGGGTAATCTTTGGGCGTCTAAAACTTGAATCACTTATTCAAGTTTCCAAAAAAGTATGTACTGTGGGATTCGCTATGGTATTGTGTGTCATAGCCCAAATACCAGAGGAAACCCAACTGACCATTGGTAAGAAATTGGTTTAAAAACAGTTGTAGTCCAGCAATGTTCTGGAACTAGACAGAGGTGGTGGTTGTAGACAGTGTGAACGTACTACCTACCACTGGATTGTCCACTTCAAAATGGTTTATGTTATGTGAATTTCACCCCAGTAAATTATTTTTAAAATTATAGTCCTTTTGTACAACAAAATACTGCAAAGCCCTTAAGAAAAATGAGATAGATCTCTACGGGAAGGGGTGCCTGGGTGGCTCAGCCGGTTAAGCGTCTGCCTTCAGCTCAGGTCATGATCCTGGGGTCCTGGGATTGAGCCCCGCATCGGGCTCCCTGCTCAGTGGAGAGCCTGCTTCTCCCTCTCCATCTCCCGGCTGCTCTGCCTACTTGTGCTCTCTCTCTCTCTCTCTCTCTCTGTGTCAAATAAATAAATAAAATCTTTAAAAAAAAAGATCTATAGGGGAAGAACAAGGAAAGATGTCCAAGATAAATTAAGTGTAAAATGCAACTTGCCCAATAGTATGCATGGTATGAGCCTGTTATAGT